TCCCCCTTTTCCTTCCCTCCAGCCATCTCTCTTTTTGGTGTGGTGATGGTGGTGGTGTATGTGCAAGTACACGTGCCTCTCTGTGTGTGTGTGTGTGTGCATGCGTGTGTGTGTGTGTGTGTGTGTGTGTGTGTGTGTGTGTGTGCATGCGTGTGTGCGCGTGCGCACGCACACATGCAGAGGCCAGAGGAAGATGACAGCTATCTTCCTCTATTACTCTTTACCTTATTTTTTGAGGCAGGATCTCTTCCTGAACCCAAAGCTCAGCTTTTCAGCTAGGCTGGCTGGACAGTCAGCTTGTAGAACTTGTCCCTTTCTGACCATCAGTGCTGGGGTTACAGGCAGGCCACCAATCTTGACTTCTACGTGGGTGCCAGGGGATTTGAACTCAGGATTTTTTATTTCACAGTGAGTCTTCAGCCCCACAAGTATGTTTCCTTGTGTTGGGAAATTTGAAATTTTCTCTACTAGCTATTTTAAAATATTCAAGTAAGTATGCCTGATGAATAAGCACAACTTAGCCACTAGATGAAAGAAATTTGTCTTGCAAATGCTAAAATATAATCTTTGATTTGAGCCCTTTCTTGTGCAGGAACCTTTCTGTACACTTACAAAGTAGGCAGATTGTTTTCTATTTCTGTGCCTAGATCTATTTTCCATTCTCCCTTCTGCTACATGCCTCAGGAATGTCAGCTATGTGGGCTGCACCAACGGTCTCCTTGCTGTCTGAATTTAATTGAGCTTGGCCGTTGGAAGCTGTCAGCCCAGATGGTGCAGATGGTGGTTTTCTTTTTCTTTTTCTTTCTTTCACCTTTTCCCACTGTATTTTCTTCACCAGCAGAGAGGGGAAAGCCTGAGTTCAGGTTGTGGTTCTCTCTCTTCAAAGTGAGTGATTGGTTCCAGGTCATTTCTTCAATGGAGTCATCCATTAGAAATGGCTACCGTTCCTATCAGGCAGTGATTATCTTATTACTTACTCTGTTGTTTCCTTTTTCTTCTCCCCCTTTCCCTCTTATATTTGAAGATGCCAGACTGTGCTTTCAGAATGTCTATTGTGTGCTGTGCTTGGTTTTGTGTGCTTTCTTCTCAAAGAATGCTGTATTCATTCCACTGATTCCTAGAATAGCAATAGCATATCATTTTAGTTGGTAACAGAAAGGTTATCTTTCCTGTCTGTTTCTGCTGGGGCATCAATAAAATTTCCATTGGCAGACATGTGAGTTAGAGCCCCACATATGTTCATAAATTACAAAGAGAAATGTTAAGAAACATCAGTGGCTTTTGGATCCTGGGGTCCAGGGAAAGGTTCAGACAGAGCAAGAGAGATTTTGAGAGAAGTCTTTTTTTTTGTTTGTTTATAGATAGCTGTTAGGATTTGGTTTGCAAACTTTGTTCAAGGCTGCAGTGAAGCATGTGAACCAAAGGTTTTTGATAGCCTCACACCTGCCACCACTAGAAGGGTCTATGATGTCAGGGTGGAGACCAGCATTTTTCCTATGCTTTAACAGAATACAGGAATTGTCAGTGTTCCTATGAGTAGGAAGGAGGTACCTCAAGACATCGAGCCACAACAGGTCAGCTTGTGATGTGGTCCACATCAGAGGCTGAAAGGACTGCAATGCCCATCGTCTATACAGTGTCTACTGGATGACACGGAGCAGAGCAGTGGAGAATGTGTTACTCACATCATGTTAGCAGTTAGCAGGGTCCAGTGAAGGAATCTCTGTGATAGACTCAAGAAAGCTTCCACAGGGAGCAGAATCTGCTCAAAACGAATGCCATGCATGCTGTGGCCTGTAAAGTAATGTTGGAGCACAGTAAAGTGGTTTATTGGAGCACAGTATTTTATTTGCAAAATATGATTACTGATTCCCATTTTCTACTTTTTTACTTACTTGAAATAATATGATTGAAAATTAAAGCATTTCTTTTGAGATTGGATTTCTGTTTTTTTTCTTCTTTTTTTTTTTTTGGTTTTTCGAGACAGGGTTTCTCTGTGTAGCTTTGGAGCCTATCCTGGCACTTGCTCTGGAGACCAGGCTGGCCTCGAACTCACAGAGATCTGCCTGCCTCTGCCTCCCGAGTGCTGGATTAAAGGCGTGCACCACCAACGCCCAGCTAGAGATTGGGTTTCTTTTTAGACATATTTTTCATTGCTTTGATTTTGTATCATTTGTGTTATTCGACCAGGTGTACAAATATTGCAAGTTAGCCTTTCTTCATTGTGTGAACCAATAAGACATCAAAAGGTAATTGGTAAAGTCATGAAAAATAAATTATCACAAAGTACAAAATGCCAAAAAGCTAAATGTAACTAATATCTAATAACCAATCCTTAGCATATTGACATGTTTAAGAATATCCACTTAACAAATACATCATTTTGTGTCAACCATTGTGCTAGCCCATGAAACTACATTAATAACAGCGAACTTGGTCCTTGTTCTCATTTTACAGGTAAATATAATAATAATCTAATAATTTTTAGATACTTCTGTTTTGCCATTAAATTATCAAGTGCTTATTATTGATAGGGATGCATTGGGCAGGCATTGATGCCAACTGGCAAGCTGGTGACTACACAATGTAATGTAGGCAACTGTTTGGTAATAAAAAGATTTACATTTGTATCATTTCTAGAGATTTCTGCTAAGAATATGATTAAAAATGATAAAATAAGGCCAGGTGTTGGTTGTGCATGCCTTTAATCCCAGAACCTTCGAGGCAGAGGCAGGTGGATCTCTGTGAGTTCAAGACCAGCCTGGTCTACAAGAGCTAGTTCCAGGACAGCCTCCAAAACCATCGAGAAACCTTGCCTCGAACCCCGCCCCCCATGATAAAATAACAAGTTACCTTATCTTCATTGTAAGGACCACTAAGATATCAAAAGATAATTGGTAAAGGGCATTTAAAATAACAAAGCACACTGAAAACTTGTGTCTACACAAACACTTATTTTTTTTTCAGCTTTATTTACACTGCAAGAACTTAGAATGACGATGATGTCCTTGAAGAGGTAAATAGAGGAAGAGAGTTTGGTTCATACAAAATGGGGAAAATTTAGTTCTGAAAAAAGAGTGAGCTACTAAGTCATTAACATAAAGGAAAGAAACGGAAACACATGTTGCTAAATGAAGGACACCATTATACAAAGTTCATGTACTGTGGCTGGGGATGAGGTAGAGTGCTTGCTTGTCATGCAGGAAGCCCCGGCTTCAGCGTCCAGCACCACAGGGGACAGGGTGGTGGAGCATGTCTGTAACCTCAACATTGGGAAGTAGAAGGAGGAGGATCAAAAGTCCATGGCAATTATCAACTACATATTGAGTCATAGTGAGTTTGGGACCAGTGTAGACTCTGTAAGACCCCCATCTCCACAACACACAAGTCTACATACTATACGTTGTCAACTCTTTGTTGTTCATTTGAGTTAATCATGATGTAGCCAAAGATTGACTCTGAAACCCTTATCTTCCCAAGGTTGTCCTCCATTTCCCAAGTGCTAAGATCCAGGTATGTGCCACCATGCCTGGCTCAAATTGTTGGACATTCTGGGAAAGACAAAAGTATGGAGATAGGAAAACGAGGAGTGAAACATTATGCATCCAGTGAACATTAGGAATAATAATTGGCTAAATCAACATGTTATTTGGCTCAGAAGTAAATTTGTTGGCTCAAAACTGATGACTAACTAGTGTTAAGAATCTCACAAGCTGGCAGGTTGTGGCAGCGCACGCCTTTAATCCCATATCTGTTCCTCAGTTGTAGCCAGTGTGCTATTCAGGTGGGATGGATGGAAATGACAGTCTAAGCATGTGTAGGGCAGAGGGCATATGGGACCCTTTACTTTTGCTCTGTTGTGAACTTAAGATCAAAAGTGAAGTATGGGGATGGAGGCAGGCCTGGCTTTCCTGCTTCTTACTAATCTGTAGAATTGACCTCTTACTCTAATTATTGTCTGACTTGACTAGGTTATGGGACTTTTTTTTTTTTTTGACAGGGTTTCTCTGTGTAACAGCTCTGATTGTCCTGGAACTCACTCTGTAGGTCAGGCTGGCCTCGAACTTGGAGAGATCCGCCTGCCTCTGCCTCCTAACTGATGGGATTAAAGGCATGCGTCACCACTGTCTGGAAGGTTGTGAGATTCTTAATACTAGTTTATCATCAGTTTTGGAGTCAATGAGTTTATCTAATTGATAAACTAGATAATCTAGTTTAGATTAGATTACTAGATAATCTAATCTGTAAATTTATTGCCGACCAACCGAAACTGAAGTGTGTTTTGTTGAATTGTGTCGTGGTGCTCCATGTGAATTCTGAGTCTCAGGATCTTCCTCTTCTCTCTATATATTTGGAATATGCTTTGTATTGTGGGTCAAAGCATTATGATCAAGTTAGAGCACCATTTCCTAGTGGTCTAGGAGATATTAGCCAAGTTAATTTTGGTTTTCACTGTAAAAGTAAAGACACATGGGTAATTTTGGCATTTTTTATAGTCTTTTTTTTATTAGTTCAAATTAGGAACAAGCTTGTTTCACATGTCAATCCCTTCTCCCTCTCCCTCCCCTCCCCTTCACCCTCACCCCTCCTACCCTACCCCGACCTACCTCCCACCCCATCCATCCTCCACTCCCCAGGCAGGGTAGGGCCCTCAATGGGGGCTCCGCAAAGTCCATTACATCATCCTGGGCTGGGCCTAGGCCCTTCCCCGTGTGTCCAGGGAAAGAGTGTATCCCTTCATGTGGAATGGGCTCTCGAAGTCTCTTCTTACACCAGGAAAAATACTAATCCACCACCAGAGGCCTCCTAGAGTGCAGAGGCCTCCTCATTGACATCCATGTTCAGGGGGCTGGATCAGTCCTGTACTGGCCTCCCAGACAGCATCTGGGGTCGATGTGCTCCCCCTTGTTCAGGCCAGCTGTTTCTGTGGGTTTCTCCAACCTGGTACTGACCCCTTCGATCTTCATTCCTCCCTCTCTTCAACTAAGTTCCAGAGTTCAGTTCAGTGTACATCTGTGGATGTCTGCCTCTGCTTCCATCAGCCACTGGATGAGGGCTCTAGGATGGCATAAAACGTAGTCATCAATCTCATTTTAGGGGAAGGGAATTTAGGGTATCTTCTACACTATTGCCTAGATTTTCAGTTCCTGTCATCCTTGTAGATCTCTCGAAATCTCCTGAGTGCCAGATCTCTCCTCGGACCTATAATGGCTCCCTCTAATATGATATCTCTCATCCTGCTCTCCTCTATTCTTCCCCCAACTCAATATTTCTGCTCCTCCATTTCCTCCTCCCCCCTCCTCTTCTCCTGCTCTCATTCTGGCAGCTCCTTCTCCCCCACCCTCATGCTCCCAATTAGCTCAGGAGTTCCAGCCCCTTCCCATTCCTGGGGTCCATGCATTTATCCCCTAGAGTACTTCATGTTTCCTAATTTCTTTGGTGAAGAGGATTGTAGGCTGGTAATCCTTTGCTCTATGTCTAAAATTCATATATGAGTGAGTACATACCATGTTTGTCTTTTTGTTGGCATTTTCTTTCTATACTCTTATGGCTAATCACGTTCATTCCTTAACAAATGCACATATGGACGTAGGTGGTGCATACTTTTAATCCCAGCACTCTGGAGGCAGAGGCAGGAGGATCTCTGAATTCGAGGCCAGCCTGATCTACACAGTGAGTTCCAGGACAGGCTCCAAAACTACACACAGAAACTCTTTCTCAAAACCCCACAAATGCACATAGGTAGTAAATGTGGCTGAAAGGTCAAGGAACATCAGCAAATGGGGAGATGTAGTCGTTTTGAAAGAATAGTTCAATGGAGCAGTATGGAGCACATTGAACTGAGAGTAGCGGGGAAACTGACATTAGCAGTAATTTGTGTTAGAGGCATTTCCTATGCATAGAAATTAATAAAGTATACTATTACGATAAATCTTTCTGCCAAAAGCCACTGAGCCCCATTGCCATGTGTTAGCTTTACACCAGCTGCCCACCCGAGTTAGGACCCAAATTAATATATAGAAACTTGTATTAGGTTCAAATGCTGCTTGGCCAATGACTAGGCTTCTCATCTGTTAGCTCAGTCTTAATTATCATAAATCTTATATTTTATAAGATTTATCTTATTAAACACCTTCCATTGGCGTCCCTCCTTGCCAGTGGCTCATGTGACGCCGCTGGAGCAGGAACCAAGGGGAAAAAGACATTTCCTGTTTCTCCTTGCTTAAATATGAGTCTCCTTGCTATGTCATTTCCGGCCTGGATCATCACTTCTCTACTACGTTTCCCAGAATCCTCTTTGACTCCTAGTCCTATCTAACTTGCTGTCTCATTGGCCAAACAAGTACTTTATTCAATAAGATGAACATACACAGTACATTCCCCATCAATATACCAGTGGTTTGATGGGGGTATGAGAGCAGCAAAGATTTTATTCTTAAAAGATGCATGAGACACACAGGTTCACATTCATTCATGCATATGTCCTCTGTGTTCTAAAACCTAACTGACAAATAGCCCAAGCTTCCAGCTGACTGTAGTGTGTGTCATGTTTCCAAGATGATGGTGATAGCAAAAACCTTCTAATGACCAGTTTTAATTTCAAATGCTATTGGATCAGGCTTTACTTTGTGTTCTCATTTGTCTTTATATGTGTATAATTTACATATAAATTACTATTTTGACAAGGCTTTTAGGATTGTTTGATCCATTCTCAGGGTCAAAAGAAACTGGGCAAAAGCCTCTTCGTCTATGCCAGTAGCATTGTAAATAGGCCCATGGCTGGAAATGGAGGTGCCCTTGTCAGCTAAGTGATAACACAAAGTTGTATCCATCATGCTTAGCTGGCTTGAATATTGTTTTTTAGCTGATGACAGTGAACCCGACAAGGGGCGATGCTGGATAAATGCAATCGCTTGAATATTTGGGTGTCTATAACAACTGCTTTGATTTATCTGGGTTAGAATAATTCATCCTAGATTCAGAATTTGGGTGTGTACTTTATTTGTTCACTTCAGTAGATCCTAAAATGTGCATGGATGAGTTCAGCAAGACTCACTTCAGCCATTGGGACTCCCTGGATTGCTCTAGTATGTATAGTTCTTACAAAATTGACAGATATACAAATATAGAGCTAGCTCGAACCATATACTGAAATAGAAATTAGCACTGCAATTTTGGTCATTATAGCATTGAGAAATTGCTGTGTAGATATGTCAAAAAGCATACAGTCCTGTGAAAAATACAATGCTATACAATACAATTACTATGCTATTGCAACAATTATTAGACAGAAATAACTCCATTTATTGCTTTAAGTCAGTGAGAAAAATGAAAAAAGTCAGCATGATTGTGGGGCTAATGTATTACTTGCCAGTGAGCTTCAGAAACCAGTGAGTTATAGTTTCCTAAACCCTTTTTTTTTCTTTTTTAACCATTTGTCTCATTTTTACTGACTAGTGAATATCATCAAAAGAAAGCAATTGGAGCATAAGAAATAGAAAGTAAGTTGAATAAATAGCAAATGGAAAAATGTATTTCTACTTTATAGAATATGCAAACATGCTTTTATGGTTCATATCAAAATTATCAAACTTTTCAAAATTCCTAGACCTCTTATTTTAATTATACAATATGTATCTAAATACAATAAATTATATCAAGAAGAGTATATCTGCATTCAGTTAAGTGGCTCCAAGCCCCATCTGCTGGCCTTCTTGTATTAAAAAAACATTGAAAGCAAACAAATTCTTAGGAGAGGTTAAGACAGATGGCTCCTCCAGGTTTACTTTAATGTAATATAACAAGAAGCCAAGATTGAATTTCGCCTCAGGTGCTGGCTATAACATATTGAAAACCATTACTTTACTAGATCATCAGACATAGCAGTGACTGAAAATAGGGATATCCTGGTAGAACTTGTGGTGGAGTGCTACTAAGACAACATGGATAAGATTGTTAGTTGAGGATGCTATCCAGGTAAGGATTTCTAAGCGTGCCACCTGGAGGCTTGGTGAGGTAGCTAATCTTGGTTGTCAACTTGACTATATCTAAAGATAGCTAAAAGGACAAGCATCTGGGCACACCTGTGAGGAGTCTCTATTTTTTTTTTTTTACGGAAATAGATTTTTCATACAATATATTCTGATTAAGGTTCCTCATCCCCCAGTTCCTCCAAGATCCACCCGTCACCCTTTCCATCCTAATCTACACGTTTTAATCTCTCTTTAGAAAACAACAGGCACCCAAAGAATTACAATAAAATAAAAAACCCCAAAAAGATGAAAAATAAATCAGAATAGGACAAAACTAACAGATGAGAAAGACAAGCCAAAGGAAAATCAGAAGAAACACATGTAGACTCAGAGACATATATGTTCTTAGAACATGAAGCCATATTTTATATACATACATATGACTCGTAAGGTTAAAAAATAAAATAAAAATAAAATGATTAGACATTAAGAGACAAGGAACCTTCAAAGATGCCCTTAAGATATCTACTGCTGGACATGGGGCCTCCTGTTAAGAGTAGCCTGTATCCCCAGTGAGACTCCATTGGAAAAAACCTAAGTTTTCATTTGCGAGGAATTACTATTTGGAGATAGCTTCTGGACTAGGGTGGGTGCTTATGCCCACTTCTCTCAGTACTGGATCCCGTCTGGAGCAGACCCTATGCATGCTGCCATAATCTCTGTGAGTTCCTAAGTTCCTTGATCATGCTGTGTTTAGAAGACCTTGTTTCTTTTCCCCTCTGGCTTTTAAAATCTTTTGGGCTCCTCCACAAGGTTCACTGAGTCCAGAGGAAGGGGATTAATGATGGATGTGCTGGATCTCTGTCCACTGTGTGCAGTGTCAAGCTGTAGGTGGTCCTGGCTTCTATAAGTGAGCAAGTATGCTAAGAATAAGCAGCAAGCAGCAATCTGTGGTTCTGCCCTGACTTCTGTGAATGACGGAAGGCTAAATAAACCCTTGCCTCTCCGAGTTTCTTTTGGTCATGGGATTTTATCACATCAATAGAAACCCTAATTTTAAGACAAAGCAATAAAAATGATACTCTATAACCCTTTACAGAGTGATTCACCTCTGTAGACTCTCAGCTTTGAGAATAATTTTGCATTCTGATTATTTACATATAAATCAGCATGAAAATTAAAATGCCCCACCAAATTGAGAATATTTAATTTGATAGCACATGCAATCTTCTAAAAGTCTGAGGTGTGTCAAATGTTGGAATTTTAAAGCTCAAGTATTACATTTAAGGGCATTGACAGAAACAATTCATTCAGGTGCAAGGTCCTTAGCGAGACCTGCACAGACATTAAAGGCTCTAGTAACTGAGCTATCCATCTGTAGTTACCTGAAAGCTGTGATTTCTAATCTTTGGCTGCTGCTTGCTTTAGGGCTTTTGAACATTCACGTTTGTAACTTCCATTTCAACAACAGATTCCAATTCAGATTTTCCCCAGGGCGATCAAGCTGCTGGTTTGGGGTTCCACCTTGCTCTTCTGCATGCTTCCTGCTGCTTCTCTCCATTCTTCGCTCCCGTTCTGTGAAATAGTTATAGTGGAAACCATAGTTTTGTCGTGTTTTTGCATATTTACTGTGGGATAATAGAGAAGTAGCATGATACAGCAATGTTAAATTTATTTTAGGAAAATTATGAAATACTACCACGTCTGTCAGTGAAGGCTTCTATGCTTGTGATCTACTTGTAGTTGTTAACTTGGATGATCATGGTTTCTTTAGAGAGGAGGCTGAGAAGGCTACAGGTGGGAAGGCTCCCCATGGGCTGCTGTTGCTGTCTCTCCTGCAGGGGTCCTGCTATGGAGCTTCACGGTGCAGATTCTTTTGAGTATCTGGAAGACTCGGGTGGAAGTAAAGACTTAGTTGAGGCAGTTTGTAACGTGAAGTCAGGATTCCAAAGTGAAGGGCTAAGGATTGAAGAGAAGAGAGTGGAAGCCAGCCTGGAGTACATTGTGAGGATGGGGATGGCTTTCTAGCTCACTCTCGTCCATTAGTCTGTCAGGAAGATGGGATGGAGCATCTCTCCATGCAGTTCTGTCCTCTCCTCCCCGCTTCTTCTCGGGTTTGCTTTCAGGGAGGTTTCATGTGCTTCCCCAACGATGGAGAAGATTATAGGGTTTGCTAGAAACTGCAGGTGTCTAAACCGCCCACATTTGTTGGTTAAATAGGACATCACAATGGGCCTAATTCAGTCCTTCATATCTCACTGGAAAAGTCGTGGCTTTCTGACTGGGCTCATTGGGCACATTTTAGATTAAGGGTTGAGAGCAGTGGCCTTTAGTTTATTTCCACTGGAGTTTTTTTTTTTTTTTCCTGACGTGCAGGGTGGAGGAGGACTTTTACACTGTGGACACTGCATTGTATTTCTACCAAATAGGTTCTATATAAATTTATTTACTTCTGCATTTGGGGCGTCTCAAATGAACTTTTCTTCAGAAACCAAGAAAGAAGTGAAAGTCCGCAAGTGTGTCAATTAAGGTTGAGTTTTCCTAGGTGACAACTTCATCAGTGTCAGGCAGTTACTGATCCTCATTGTCACATCCCCTGACATCTACTCATGTCCTCGGAGGGATATGACTATACTCTGAGATGATGTTTGAAAAGGGCTTAGCACAGAGCCTGGCCCAGAGCTAATCCTGCAGTAATTGTGATGGGATGCCCTGAAAAATGAGAGGACAAAAGTACGAGGCCTGGGGAAACCTGAGGGCTACCGCATCAAGACACAGAGAAAGGGAACTACAAACTATACTATTAGGAGCTGCTCTTTGTCTGGGAGTTGCACTGAAAACAGGTGTCTAAGTTAGAGATATTGACAGAACTTAGGCTTCACAAAGTCAATGATCATAGTTTATAGATATTTATAATAATACTGCATCTTATTGCCTCCTCCAAATACTGGAATTGTTGTTAAGATTAAAATCTCTGCACATTTCTCTGGAAGGTGCTGTTTGTAGCTGGTGAAGGTAATTCCTCTGGTGTATGCCCTTGGCTACACAGTCAGCTTCTATAATAGTTAAATGATTTTGGCTTCAAGTCCCTATTTAGTATATTTGATTTCATTTCATGTCAGTTGCAATTTCTTCTTGCATATTCTACATATGCAAACTCCTTTGGACAAAATGGCTAAGGAAAGACATCAGTTTTGAATATTAAATGGGTTTAGATATGAATATTTAATAATGCTTTAAAATTTTTATATTTAAGTGTTCCCTTCGTTTTTTTTAGGTTTGTGGGCTGGCAGCTATAATTTGTATTTCCTAGGTTTCTTGTATTAACTAGAAAGTAAGTTTCCTTTATAAAGAAGTAATACACTATTAAATTTAAAGGAAACTATAAAATGTATAATTTTGAATTGGGGTAATGCATAAAAACTGATTTATAGAACATGTTTTTATTAAGTATAAAAATTTCCATATAATATATAATAAACTATTACTGTAGTTATGAAGGACTTTATAAATTTTAAAGACCTGGATTGCATTATCAACATACAGAAAGATAGGGAGTTATAGACCAACTTCTCATGTGGCATGCTTTGGTATATACTTCTGTGTCCACTACATGTATGTATTTTATTTGTACATGTAACTATAATATTTCATTAAACATCAACATATGCCATTGGGATTAACTAACTTACCCATACGTGTAAAAAGAAATATGTAAAAAGAAATAATGTTATGAAAATAATTCAATATAGCATTGATAGTATGTGGTAAAGAAGTTTGAACCTTGATGAGCAATAATTATGAAATGCATCTGTAAATAAGACATTAAATTTGAAAAACACCTCTAATATTTTTAGATAATGTTATTATAGACATTCAGGCTAAATTAACAGTTTCTTTATCTGCTTCTTATCAAGCTGGTTTACCCTGTGTGTGGAATTTACTCTATGTATATATGAAATCTCTGAAAATTTTAATATGTCGGTCAGGGAGAGGTTTTACGCTGGAACATCATAAGTACTTATTCATTATGAGATCATTTATCAAGTACTTTCTGCATTAGGGCTTGAGTGATTGCTGGGGATGTGGAGGCAAAAGCTGCCATCTGCCATGCAAGATTTCAGAGTATAGTGGGATGTAGTTAAGGAAGGAGCCTGATTATTGAACTGTAGGAGCCAAAATCTGTGGAGAGGGATGTGTGATTCTCAGATACACACAAGGATGAGGCAGGCCCTCAAGAATTACTTCCCCAAAGAAGCACTAGTGTAATGTGTGTGATTCAGCATGGTCTAGTTCAGGGGATACATGACTTCCCTGTGGGGTGTTATCAAGGGACAGGTTGTAAAGTTTAGAAAAATAGGTAAGTAAATCATGCCACTTGTGGCAGATGCAAGGGCATTGTTAGGAGACCCTCACTGGGTATCCACTACAGCAGCTAAGTTGTCTCCATCATGGCCAAGTGATGGATAGTCTGTAGATCTTGCTTCTACTTGAATACATTTCCCTGCTGTGGAGGAGGAGGGGAAATCTCACTGCCGATTGGCTCCCTTGCCTTACCAGGTTTAGTGGCCTGGCTCCAAGTGCCAAAACCCACTCAGGCTCATTTTCCCTTCTAGACAGAATGAAAGAGGCTCAGTCTCTTGTTACAAATGCTTGTTTGGCTCTTCCCAGATAGGTTTTATGACAAAAATGTACCAGTGTCAAGCTTTTGTAGGGCATCCTCTTCAGCCTCAAAGGACTTTTCTTCAGTCAGCAAAAGCCTACATCTTACAAATCAAAAGCTATACATTAAAAATTCTTGTTTTGATTATGGATTCATAAGCCTATTGGTGTAAGCTTCTGATAGGAACCAACCAAAGCTAGAAAGAAAGAGAAACAGCTCTACAAAATTCCATCATTGCTATCTTATGAAAGCAATTTCTGTGCATGATTCATAATACAAAAATATTTCTATGTCTTAGGATGGAACTATAGAAATCTTCTGTTCTCCCTCCTATTCCCAAATTGATTTTGGTAGAAGAAACCCAATCTTTCAGATATTTCTGTTGGTATTAACCTCTAGGTTTCAAAATACTCTGCTTTTCAGTTTCACACACTGTGATAGGCAGATTAATTGTCTCCAAATACATCTACTTTCTTGTGTTTAGAACCCATGAATTGTTTTTGCTGCATGATAATTAATAGATGAAATACAGCTCCCAATGAGCTGTTCTTAATATAAAGAGGCGAGCCTAAGTTGTCTATTCATGGGTTGTTGAGCATTCATGAGCTTCCTTCAAACCCAGAAGAATCAGAATCAAAATAATGGCCAAAAGACTCACAGGTCCCAGTAGCTAAGGACTGGTGGCATCCCAGAATCTGGAGAAAGCTAGAGCATGGCATGGTCCTGTTGTGTATCTTAGGCTGTTCAGTGAGACACATTTGCTTTTCTGATCCCCAGAACCATAAGATACTCAGTTTACTGTTATACTGTCTTCATGCTTCACAAGCATTTGGCTGGGTTCAGAAATCTATGCTGGAAAATGCATTTTATGTAATTTTGAATGCATTTGCCTGGCATCTTCTAATTCATGACGTGAATGCTGGCAGGGAGTTATTAACTTGGTCCAGGGAACCTGCCTTTTACTGTAAGTAAATTTCATTTTATGATTTGTTTGATAATGTATTGTCTGACTTTTATAATCTGTGTGTCTGGAAATAATTTTGTTCAGATGTTTAAAGTCCTCAAGTGACCCAATTTATTTACCTCCAGTCTTTAGTATTGTTTTTTTTTTTTGTTTTGTTTTGTTTTGCTTTGCTATCTTGGAGATTTCAACTTTTATATTAGATTTTGTTGTCAACCATTTCTTTTAATTTTTCTCCAAGTTTAATCTTAATGATCCTTTATTTTGAAAAGACCTTTATTGAGGTGTTTATTTGATACATGTTCTATATGCCAAGACCCCTCCCCTCCTTGTCGTATGGGCAAGATTCTTCTCTCTCTCTGAAGATACAGACCATAGGTTCTACAATTGCCTCTGGATTTTTAAATTATCTTAGCTTCCTTCTTTGTGAGGTTTCTCTAGAGGAACAGAACATTATAAGTACAGGTTACAAAGGGGATTTGTTCTCTCTCCCCCTGTTCCTGCTCTCTGTCCCCTCTCTCTGTTTCCCTGC